CCTTGATCCGTTCTTGTAACATAGGATGAACCTTCAAAGTTGCTAACAACTTCGTCACCTCATTTAACTCCAAATCCAAGTTCATAGCCCTCAAAGAGACAAATTCCGATAAAGGACTCTCCCTCTTCCTACTCAAGTAATCAGCTACCACGTTTGACTTTCCTGGATGGTACTTAATAGTACAATCATAATCGCTTAACAACTTCATCCACCACCTCTATCTCATGTTCAACTCCTTCTGATCAGTGAAGTGATGGAGACTTTTGTGATCAGTAAAGATGGTGGAAGTCTCGTCGTAGAGATAGTGTCTCCATAGCTTTAAGGCGAAGACCACTACTGCAAAATTCAAGTCATGGGTTGGGTAGTTCACCTCGTAGGGTCGTAGTTTCCTTGAAACGTAAGTGATCACCTTCATATCTTGCATAATCACGCAACCCAACCCTTGATAGGAATTATATCGCTATAGATGCAATACTCCCCACCGCAGGTTGGTAGTGCCAACACTGGTGCAGACGTCAACTTCTTCTTCAGCAACTCGAATGTACCTTGACACTTCTCATCCTATACAGTTTCCTTCCCCTTTTATAATAATTGATTCTGGTCCTACACTACTGGAGAAGCCTTCCACAAACCTCTGGTAGTACCCATGCTAAACCCAGAAAACTATGTTCTTCAGAAACATTCTTTGGTGGAACCCAGTTTGTCACGACTTCAATCTTCTTAGGATCCACTTCAACTCCAACACAAGAGATCATATGCCCCAAAAATAGGACTTCATCTAGCTAGAATTCGCATTTGGAGAACTTGGCATACAATGCTTCCTCCTTCAACCTCTGTAATATCACCCTCGAGTGCTCCTCATGTTCCTTTCCATTCCCCGAGCAGATGAGGATGTCATCAATGAAGATTGAAGACGATAACAAATTATTTAGATATTCATGGAGAGCACGATTCATCAAGGCCTTGAAAGATGCCGGTGCATTAGTCAAACTGAATGGCATGACTAGGAATTGTGGTCATACCGTGTGCGGAATGCCGTCTTAGGTACGGAGCTACCTGCCACTCTCAATTGATGGTATCTAGATCTTATGTCAATCTTTGAGAACACCCTGGCTTCCTGCAACTGTTCAATGATATCGTCGATCCTTGGCAGAGGATAACGATTCTTGATAGTTGCCTTATTCAGCTTTCTATAATCTATGCATAGTCTCATACTGCCATCCTTCTTCTTCACGAACAACACCGGTGCTCCCCTTGGTGATATGCTAGGAAAGATAAAACCCTTCTCTAACAACTCTTCCAAATGCTCCTTTAACTACTTCAATTCCATTGGCACCATGTGGTATGGAGGAATGGATATAAGTGGAGAACCAGGAACCACTTCAATATCAAACTCCACCTCCCACTATGGTGGTAGCCTAGGAAGATCATCGAGAAATACCTCGGGGTATTCCCTAATGAAAGACACATTTTTTATCTTCTTCTCTTTGATCTCTGACTCGCTACGACATAACACCAAAATGCGACCAAGTGCAATCAAAGAATGGAAATGCAGAATAGTAGTTAGTTTTAATATCGACCCGGGCTCTAGATCTACTGCCTACTCCTTGAACTTCTATTATCTGGCAGGACTAAGTGAGTGAATTTTTTTCAAAGCTAAAGAAATGAAAAGCAAGTAATGTCCGGGGTTCTCTTCAGGTGCTAAAGGTCATCCAGGTATGGTTCCCCCTAGAGTGCAGCTAGTTCAGGTTATACGTTCCCAATTTACTCAGATTGATAGGTAAACCGCAAAAAGTTCTTTACTGGTCTGAACTCTTGACTAAAGTTATCTAGACCCTCTCGGTTTGAATACCCGGAGGGCGACTAACCTCCACCGCCATACACTAACCGAGTTTAATCACACGAAACTTCCTCTACTAGCGCTTGTTCTAGTACGAAGCAGTGAATTGACTTCTCGACTAAATCCGTCGATTCAACACTTTCAATTCAAGGTTTCTCTTTTAACCTATGCAAAGACTATCTTTCAAGGTAAAAGCAGGAATTAACAGGTTTGATCAGGACTCATGCAATTTTGATTAATTCCTCATTTGAATTTATCATATCTATCATTCGCAAATGAGGTTCATACAATCATTCCTAACATACACAGTTAGGGTTCTTCATACTCAGATGAAATGGAAAATTACTCCATGGAGAGATGTGATAACGTCATGCTTGGAGAAGACATCATCAAAACGACAATGAGAATCTGCCCCTGGCAGCTAGTCGGTACTCTGAGGTTGAGGAATCGAGCTCCGGAGTCTTGAGATCGCTCCAATCCTTGCCCAACGGTTTTCCTTCGTCACTCTCTCTCTAGGGTTCTTTTTCAACCTTTAGAACTCAGAAAATCAAGATCGTTTGCCTTTTTCCCGGGCAGCCCTTAAATTGGCTAAGATTTCGCAAGTTAAGGGCGTAACTTGGCTTGCCCGCCCGTAACTCTCCAGAAAATGGCTTCATTCCAGCACTCCGTAAACTAAGAGTTACGACTTCTTTGGAGGAGTTAAGTCCTCGACCGTAACTTGAGAAGGGAGTCCGTAACTTGAAGAATGTCGTCTGGTCCTTTGGCTTCCACTACCTCAGAGTAACGGGTAAGGGGAAGAGGTTACGACCCAGACCATAACTTGAAGGGTCTAGCCGTAACCTTCAGATAGCTGCTGGGATCCTTGTCCTTTCCTTGGGAAGTTACGGACCATCAGGGAAATAACGGGCCTTATCGTAACTTTGAGGGTCTGGCTGTAACTCTCAATTGCCTGCTTCCCGTTTCTTTCCAAAAAGTCTCGAACCTCGCTCCTTTTCACCCGTTCACACACTTGGACCTGAAACATCATAAACTGACACACCCAAGCGTAAAAGAGGCCACGGGAGCGATATACCACACTCAAACGTCAAGAAATGACGAGAAAAACATGTTCAAGTACATCGATATCAAATTCTCCTACACTTAACCATTTGCTTGTCCCCAAGCAAACTGACTCAAACCAATGCAACTCTCCAGACCTTTACAACAACATGCAACCCCGATTGTTGGTAGAGGATTTCCTAGATCATTTAGCAACTTACGAGGTCAACTGGTCTTCTAAGACGTCCCCTATCTTTCTCAATGCGAATACTAGACTCAAGCAGGAGAAGTGGAACTAGGACAATCAATTCATGGATAAAGAGACTCACACACATAACACACAATGACTCTTCGTATTGGGTGCTCTTTCATTTCATTTCAATCGTCGGAACCCCTTTTTTGTACTTTTGTCTTCTTTTTTCCTTTGTTTTTCTCATTCATACTTTGCTGAGGTTCCAAACTGCAGTTTTATGCGCGGTAGACCCTTATTGATTGAGCAAGAGCAATTTTTGTACATCTGTCACTCGCCAGAGTACTTCTTTTAACTCCTTTTCCTCAACTCGTGTGGATGGTCAATGAAATTAAGTGGGCTCGATAGCATTATCCGTGCCCTTAAATACACATCCTCGAGTAGGCCAATGTTCAACTGGTGGAACTTTTACTTGTACTAGAGATAACTTAGCTTCACCTTGTAGGCCTACCCCACTAAGGATCACTAAACAATAAAATCTCTTCCAAAACCTGATTTTTGTGCAATGAACGGTGCCACACACGTTGGGCTTACCCCATGTTTAAAATTTCAAATTTTTTGACATGAAGGACCAACTACTTTTCATTCGCACTGAGAACCCTTTTACGATACATACACAACAAAAAGGGAGTCATCGATACCACATGAATCAAATGTCCTAAATCCACTAGTTCACATAATCAACTAGGACAACAAAGAGACAGATAGGAAAAATCTTATTCTGCAACATCCTCCATAGTGCTTCAACTACCTCCCTAGGTTGCACGTAACCATAAATACTGTCAATTCAAAGCATACTGAGTAGGTTATTGCAAGGAACACGTACTCGGAGCCCTCAAATCAACATTTTGGACAGTGGACTAGGCTCCAAGCACACAAACACATCTATGCAGTCAAAGATAAACACCCCCACACTTAAGCACGACATTGCCCTCAATGGAGAAGAGGGAAAGATAAGGGGAACGATGTTACTGGTAAGAATAGACTGCATTAGGACTAGAGAGTGGAATAGTCAAGGCGGAGGACTGCAGATGGGACCAGTCACTGCAAAAGAGAGTCTAAAAACAACCACTAGAATACTATTTGTTAGGGATGGTTGTCAGCCCAAATGAGATCTCGACACACGCACAAACCGGTTCAAAATCAGAAATGAAGGAAAGAAATGCAAATCGTGCCGGGGTTGCCTCCCCATAAGCGCTTTCTTTTACGTCTTTAGCTAGACGCAACAAGTAGATACTCAGAGGGGAGTAGGGCCAGGTGCCTCCAAGAGCGGATCCACATCGCTCTTGAGGTACAACTTCAAATGATGGCCATGCACACGACGAATGTGGCCACCAACACATGTCAACTTGACCTGGCCATCCGACAGGATGCAAGCGAGTGAGTACTCGGATGGCCTGGGTGGTTGACACGCTAAGACACAGAACCAAACTGCGACCAAGTGTAATCGCAGTCCGGAGATGCAGTAACAGGCAAGCTCTAATTGTCAACCTGGAGTCTAGATCTACTGCCTACTCCGTGTATATCTGTTATCTAGAAAACTAAGTTGAGTGATTGTTGATTTAAGTAAAAGCAGTAAGAAAGCAGGAAATGGTTTGGTTTTCTAAAGAAAAGGAAGAGTCACTCGGGAATGAGTCTCCCTAGCTCCTTAGTTAGGTCACAGTTGTAATTACTTTGGTTGCTTTACTGCTGATTATACTACGGAAGATCCGACAGTAGCTTGGAATATCTTAAGCTGACCAAGCCCTCTCAGTCAAACTACCCGGCAGACGACTAGTCTTCACCAGGATAGAACGCTGAGGCAATGAACACAGAACTCCACTACTGGAATTAGATTCTAGTATAGAGCAGTGAATCGACTAACTCTCGTATAATCGATTCACTACTAACGATTGAAGAAGCTCTAACAACCTAATCAGATTCTATCTATCTCAGGTTGCAGCAGAAATCAATAAAAGATGATCAGGCTTCAATTGACTCATTCAAAACACTACAATCAATTATAATCGAGCAATATCACAATCCAAATGTAATTACAATCAAGATTCCTAACACATGGAAATAGGGATCTTCATACCCAAGTGAGAGAAAGTTCTACTCCATAGAGAGAGAGAGAGAGGAAAACAGAAATCAGAGTAGTCATACTCATAAAGATGAGGAAAATCTGCTCTGGGATGTCAATCTTCACTCCTGGGGATGCAATATGGGTTCAATGGTGAGAAATACACTCCAAATAGCTCCTAGGGTTTGTTCTTCGCACTTTCTCTCTAAAACTATGTTTTTGCTCCAAAAAGTCGACTCTCTCTCCTTTGGCTCGAATCTGCCTCAAAACCCCGATTCTGGGCAAAACACGGTCGAGGGCACGGCCGTGTTTTGCTTTTGCCCGTCCGTGCCCTTGCCACGTGTTAAAACACGCCCGCGTCGCCCAAAACACGGTAGTGCCTAAATATGGACACGACTGTGTTTTTCTTTAGGCCAGCCCGTGTTTTGCTTTTCCATCAGTTCAGATCTCGCACATAAAAACACTAGCGTGCCAGTTTGTGTACACAGCCGTGTTCTTCAGGCCTCCTGCCCGTGTTTTGCCCCCAGCTCCACCGAATGACCTCCAAACGCCCCGAATCTCGCGCTTAGCCTTTCCTTCGACGTCTGCGACCTGAAATATGAAAAAGTAGCACAACCCAGCGTAAAACGGGCCAAAAATACACGACTACTAGCCGCAAACGGATAAGAACTAAGGGTGCAAACATGTGCAAATACATCGTTATCAAATTCCCCCACACTTAACCGTTTGCTTGTCCCCAAGCAAACCAAGTCAGACACAAAGTAAGCTCAAAACGTTTTAATCAAGCAGGCTTTTGGGACATGTCATATCGGCACAAAACACGTGAATCATATTGGCTTTTGATCATTAACACATGGACAACCTCAACGGCAACCTAGACAACCACCACAGATGACATTCGAGTGCAGCAAAGTCGAGCAAAGGAAGAGTCTCCCTTTTGTTCACCAACCAACTTGGACTTGACTCAACCACTTATTCGAGACAGTCACTTCATGCACAAAGCTCAAGGTTATCAGAATTAAGACCGAGCAATCTAGGTCCTCACCGGGGAAAAGAGTGTAGAAAATATGAGGAAATAAATCGCTCACTCTCGACCAGTGGGGTCAGGAAAGAATTTTGATGCAAGATGTGCATACTCATACTCTCAATTCCTAACGTCTCTTCACCATGAAGGCAGCCTCTAACTGTTAGAGTTCACATATCGGGTGTCATCACTAACTAATATGGAGGTCTTAGACACAGGTTCAGAAGACTGGCTAGGGTCTTGGACATGGGGAAAAGCCCTTTTAGGTGGTGGAAGTATTCATAGCACAAGGTTCCACAATTCCAAACCCAACACAATCACAGTCAATCAAACCACTTACTTTCTTTCAGCCATTCTGCATTACTCACATTCTCTAGAGCACAAGAGCGAAGGAGGTCACATAAATGTTAGTATTTCCAAGCCAGACTGCTAAGAAACACTACTTAATGAGCATGATTCATATTTTTGGTAGTGGATCTCTTTAGCTTTCATCCATTTTTTCTTCTTTTTTTCATTTCATGAGAGAACCACCACCTGTGCACATTTTTCAAACACATGCCCTACTTTTTTAAGAACTACCTCCAACCCTCACATTATTTTTAGTAGAAATAGGAGAGAACTTGCAAAAACCACCTCGTGGAACCATCTAAGAGATGCAAAAGGGTGATTTTCCATTATAAACCGAAAGAAAGAACGTGATACGGCTCAAAGGGGCTGACTAGGGGATATGACACACCAGGACAGTCAATTTGGTCGTGGGATAATCCTATGCCTCCATCATCTTAGCTAGTGACAACGTGAATGCTACACATCATGGAAGAGGGATCTATCGCACAAGAAAGAAACGAGCATGCTCAAATCTCACATGGCTACCTATATGCTCTATCTCTCATTCTGATTCCCTGAACTAGATGCATAAACGACTGTCAAGAGCAAGTGATCAAACCAAGTCACAGTTGGTAAGCAAACAGTTGAAAAACTGAACCCCTACACAATTGTATTGCACGTCTCAGTCATCATTATAAGCTGTCCTAGTCACATTCCAGTTGTCATGCATTAATTCAAAAGCCATTCAATTCACCAATTAAACCGACAGTGCCAATACGATCAAGCAAACAACAGTACTTGGAGCCCTCAAATCTCAAGATTTGGACAGCGGACTAGGCTCCATGCACACAAACTCATCTAGCAGTCAACAACAGATAAACACCCCCCCCCCACACTTAAGCACAACATTGCCCTCAATGGAGCAGAGGGAAAGACAAGGGGAAACGATGTTACCGGGAATACGGATTGTCGAGGGACTGGAAATGGGACCAGTCAGCACGGCTAGAGTCATCAAAACACACTAGGTGATAAAAACCATAGTTCCAAGTGGACAAACCGACAAACAAACGAAAGAAAAACAAATGATAGACCATTAATTACACATGTTTTTACCCCTATTCTTGAGCCGTTTGAGATGTTGATTCTTGTGTTTTAAGCCGATTTCACGCTATGTTGTGCGTTTATGTCATATTTCAGGGCTTAGCGTAGGCATCGACACGAAGAAATGAGTTTCAGGTCGAAAGGAGCACGTTTGGGGTGAAGTGTGCTATAGGAGCAAAATACCCGGCCATGAGCAGAAATACCCGGCCGGGTTTTATTTGGAGCAGACCAGGGATTTTTTTGCTTCGTGCGTCTCTGAGAAGCAGAAGGAGGCCCGGGCAGAGAGCAGAAATCCCCGGTCAGGGATTCTTGGCATTGACCGGGGATTTTCCCCTCTCTTCAGACGCGACGTTTTGAATATACCCGGTCGCCACCCTGAATACCCGACCGGGTATTCAGGCCGGGGATCGGGACAAACAGCTTCTTAAGGGAAAAGAAGGCCAAAAGTGAAGAGTTCCGAGTTTTAGAGAGACAGAGCGATACCTAGAGAGAGAAAGTGATGAACCTGACTCTGCAAGTGTCATAGATCGATCTCCATCACCATTGGAGCCCGGCTTGAGCTTGGAGAAGACCTGATTGAGTGCCAGAAGCAGATTATCATCCTTCACAGTATGGTTTCCGCATCTGAGCTAGATTTCCCATCTCTCTATGGAGTAGTTTTCTTATTCACCTGGGTATGAAGAACCCTAGATTTGTATGTTAGGTCTGATTGTGTGAACCCAAGTACAGATTCATTGGTATGATTATGTTCAATTGAGGTTTGATTTGTTGAATGGCATGAATCCTGATCAAATTCCTGTTGTTTCTGCTTTAACCTAGAAAGAGAATATCTGCCTAGGTTGATAGAGCACCCTTGATTGAAGCTAGTGAATTGGCGACTTTAGTCGAGGAGTCAATTCACTATTCTGTACCGAATTTACTTCAGTAGTGGAGGTTTGGTTTGTTAGGGCCTCAATCTGTTTACTCCGGTGGAGGTTAGTCGCCCGCTGGAGACTCAGATTGAGAGGGTCTGGAGACCTTTAGTCGAGACTTCGGACTGTTTAAGAATCTCCCGCAACATAACTATCATTGAAACTGAACTTGGTAAATTACAATCCGGCTTAACTGCAGTCTAGGGGGAACCATATCAGGGTGACCTCTCTCGACTTGAAAACAACCTTTTTACTTGCTTTGCTTGTTTATTTGTTTGGATCTTCATGAAAGTTTCACTGCTAAATAATAAGAACTCATGGAGTAGTCATCACATCTAGGACGCGGGTTGACATTAAAACCCAAACCCGCTATACTACGCTTTAGGAAGTGGTTGCACTTGGCCATTTTCTAGAGTGACGATAAGAGCGAGTCAACAAACCTTGGTGGGGTTGCCTCCCCACAAGCGCTTCTTTATCATCTTTTAGCTGGACGCCAGTAGGGTGGATGCTTAGAGAGGTGAAGGAACATGTGCCTTCAAGAGCGGATCCACATCGCCCTTTAGGTACAACTTCAGGTGGTGGCCATGCACTCGATGAGTGTGACCACCAGCACTCGTCAACTCGACCTGGCCATCCGGCAGGATGCAAGCGAGTGAATACTCGGATGGCCAAGGCGGCCGAGGCTCAGGAGGCGGGACCAACTCATAGTGGTCCCCGGCTACGGCGCCAAAAACTTGACACGCTAAAACACAGCACCAAACTGCGACCAAGTGTAATCGCAGTCCGGAGATGCAGTAACAGGCAAGCTCTAATTGTCAACCCGGGGTCTAGATCTACTGCCTACTCCATGTATATCTGTTATCTAGCAAACTAAGTTGAGTGATTGTTGATTTAAGTAAAAGCAGTAAGAAAGCAGGAAATGGTTCAGTTTTCTAAAGCAAAGGAAGAGTCACTCGGGAATGAGTCTCCCTAGCTCCTTAGTTAGGTCACAGTTGTAATTACTTTTGGTTGCTTTACTGCTGATTATACTGCGGAAGATCCGACAGTAGCTTGGAATCTCTTAAGCTGACCAAGCCCTCTCAGTTAAACTACCCGGCAGACGACTAGTCTTCACCGGGATAGAACGCTGAGGCAATGAACACAGAAATCCACTACTGGAATTAGATTCCAGTACAGAGCAATGAATCGACTAACTCTCGTATAATCGATTCACTACTACCGATTGAAGAAGCTCTAACAACCTAATCAGATTCTATTTATCTCAGGTTGCAGCAGAAATCAATAAAAAATGATCAGACTTCAATTGACTCATTCAAAACACTTCAATCGATTATAATCAAGCAATTTCACAATCCAAACATAATTACAATCAAGATTCCTAACACATGGAACTAGGGTTCTTCATACCCAAGTGAGAGATAGTTCTACTCCATAGAGAGAGAGAGAGAGAGGGAGAGGAAAATAGAAATCAGAGTAGTCATACTCATAAAGATGAGGAAAATCTGCTCTGGGATGTCAATCTTCACTCCTAGGGATGCAATCTGGGCTTCAATGGTGAGAAATCCACTCCAAATAGCTCCTAGGGTTTGTTCTTCGTACTTTCTCTCTCTAAAACTCTGTTTTTGCTCCAAAAAGTCGACTCTCTCTCCTTTGGCTCAAATCTGCCTCAAAAACCCGATTCTGGGCAAAACACGCTCGAGGGAACGACAGTTTCTTTTTGCTTTTGCCAGTCCATGCTCTTGCCACGTGTTAAAAACACGCCCGCGTCGGCCAAAACACGGTCGTGCCTAAATATGGACACGACCGTGTTTTTCTTTAGGCCAGCCCGTGTTTTGCTTTTCCATCAGTTCAGCTCTCGCACATAAAAACACTGGTATGCCTGTTTGTGTACACGACCGTGTTCTTCAGGCCTCCTGCCCGTGTTTTGCCCCCAGCTCCACCGAATGACCTCCAAACGCCCCGAATCTCGCGCTTAGCCTTTCCTTCGACGTCTGAGACCTGAAATATAACAAAGTAGCACAACCCAGCATAAAACGGGCCAAAAATACACGACTACTAGCCGCACACGAATAAGAACTAAGGGTTCAAACATGTGCAAATACATCGTTATCAAATTCCCCCACACTTAACTGTTTGCTTGTCACCAAGTAAACCAAGTCAGAAACAAGGTAAGCTCAAAACATTTTAATCAAGCAGACTTTAGGGACATGTCATATCGGCACAAAACACGTGAATCATACTGGCTTTTGATCATTAACACATGGACAACCTCAACGATAACCTAGACAACCACCACAGATGACATTCGAGTGCAGCAAAGTCGAGCAAAGAAAGAGTCTCCCTTCTGTTCACCAACCAACATGGACTTGACTCAACCACTTATCGAGACAGTCACTTCATGCACAAAGCTCCAGGTTATCAGAATTAAGATCGAGCAATCTAGGTCCTCACCGGGGTAAAGAGTGTAGAAAATATGAGGAAATAAATCGCTCACTCTCGACCACTGGGGTCAGGACAGAATTTTGATGCAAGATGTGCATACTCATACTCTCAATTCCAAACGTCTCTTCACCATGACGACAGCCTCTAAATGTTAGAGTTCACATATCGGGTGTCATCACTAACTAATCTGGAGGTCTTAGACACAGGTTCAGATGACTAGCTAGGCTCTTGGACATGTGGAAAAGGCCTTTTAGGTGGTGGAAGTATTCATAGCACAAGGTTCCACAATTCCAAACCCAACACAATCACAGTCAATCAAACCACTTACTTTCTTTCAGCCATTCTGCATTACTCACATTCTCTAAAGCACAAGAGCGAAGGAGGTCACATAAATGTTAGTATTTCCAAGCCAGACTGCTAAGAAACACTACTTAATGAGCATGATTCATATTTTTGGTAGTGGCTATCTTTAGCTTTCATCCATTTTTTCTTCTTTTTTTTCATTTCTTGAGAGAACCACCACCTGTGCACATTTTTCAAACACATGCCCAACTTTTTTAATAACTACCTCCAACCCTCACATTATTTTTAGCAGAAACAGCAGAGAACATGCAAAAACCACTCCGTGGAACCTTCTAAGAGATGCAAAAGGGTGATTTTCCATTATAAACCGAAAGAAAGAACGTGACACGGCTCAAAGGGGCTGACTAGGGGGTATGCCACACCAGGACAGTCAATTTGGTCATGGACTAATCCTATGCCTCCATCATCTTAGCTAGTGACAACATGAATGCTACACATCATGGAAGAGGGATCTATCGCACAAGAAAGAAACGAGCAGGCTCAAATCTCACATGGCTACCTATATGATCTATCTCTCATTCTGATTCCCAGAACTAGATGCATAAACGACTGTCAAGAGCAAGTGATCAAACCAAGTCACAGTTGGTAAGCAAACAGTTGAAAAACGGAAACCCTGCACAATTCTACTGCACGTCTCAGTCATCATTATAAGCTATCCTAGTCACACTCCAGTTGTCATGCATTAATTCAAAAGCCATTCAATTCACCAATTAAACCCACAGTGCCAATACGATCAAGCAAACAACAGTACTTGGAGCCCTCAAATCTCAAGATTTGGACAGCGGACTAGGCTCCAAGCACACAAACTCATCTAGCAGTCAACAACAGATAAACACCTCCCCCCACACACTTAAGCACGACATTGCCCTCAATGGAGCAGAGGTAAAGACAAGGGGAAACGATGTTACTGGGAATACGGACTGTCGGGGGACTGGAAATGGGACCAGTCAGCACGGCTAGAGTCATCAAAACACACTGGGTGATAAAAACCATAGTTCCAAGTGGACAAACCGACAAACAAACGAAAGAAAAACAAACCTTGGTGATAGACCGTTAATTACACATGTTTTTCCCCTGTTCTTACACCGTTTGAGGTGTTGATTCTCGTGTTTTAGGCCGATTTCACGCTAGGTTGTGCTTGTTTGTGATATTTCAGGTCCTAGTACGTGAATGGAGGCTTGGGATCGAGTTTGGGGTCGATTGGACGAAGATCGGACGCGTGGCGAGGTTCTAAGGAAGCCGCACGGGCATTCCTGGACATCACACGGCCGTGCAACTCACATTTGTGGCCGTGTGATTTTCGCCGAGAGCAAACACGGGCAGGATGGAAATCCCACACGGCCGTGCGACCCTGGCTGTGTGGGAAGCCTGAATTTCGACTTAATGATACGCCGCGTTTTGACTCACACGGGCAACTGGGTGAGCCACACGGCCGTGTGGCCTGCCCGTGTGAGTCGGGAAATTCCTGGTTTTAACCCAATTTTGGGCTGCAAAAGAGGGAATCGGACTTTTTGAGCAAAAACAGAGCCCTAGAGAGAGAAAGTACGAAGAACACATCCTAGAAGCTATCTTGGAGCTGGGTTTCATCAAATCGAGCTTGGAGATCGTCATCGGAGTGGAAATCATCATCCCAGAGCAGATTCTTCCCATTGTAATGAGTATGACAGCTTTGTACCTTGTTTTCCTCTCTCTCTCTATGGAGTAGAACCTCTCTCTCACTTGGGGATGAAGAACCCTAGTTCTATGTGTTAGGGATTGATTGTAATGACTTGGGATGGTATTACTGTTTGATTTTAATCGAATGATGCATGTTTATTGAGTCAATTGAAGTCTGATCAACTTTTCCTGATTCCTGCTGCAATCTGAGATATATAGAATCGGATTAGGTTGCTAGAGTCTCATCATTCGGTAGTAGGAGATTGGCTATACGAGAGTTAGCCAGTTTACTGCTTTGTACTGGAATCCAATTCCAGTAGTGGAGTTCTGTTCTTACTGCTTCAGCTTTCTATCCCGGTGAAGACTAGTCGTCTGCCGGGTAGTTAGACTGAGAGGGCTTGGTCAGCTTAAGAGATTCCAAGCTACTGTCGGATCTTCCACAGTCTAATCAACAGTAAATCAACCCAGGGAAATACAATTGAAACCTAACTAAGGAGCTAGGGGGACTCATTCCCGAGTGACTCTTACCTGCTTGAGAAAACCGTATCAATTCCTGCTTTCTTTCTGCTTTTGCTTTTACACAACAAACACTTAACTTAGTTGGCTAGATAATAGAGAATCACTGAGTAAGCAGTAGATCTAGACCCCGGGTTGATAATATAACTTGTCACTTTACTGCATTCCCGGACTGCGATTATACTTGGTCGCAGTTTGGTGTTGTATTTTAGAGCATCAAGTTTTTGGCGCCGTTGCCGGGGACTCTCTAGGTTATTGGGGAAACGTGAGAATTTGTAACTCTAGCTTTTTCTCTATTGCATTTTATCTCTTCCACCTGTGTGCCTTCACGGGTTGTTCCTGCTGATTGTGTGCAGGTAGTGCATGACCCATAGCCAGTCGTGAGATCTACTACCACTAGACCAGGAGCTTGAATGAACCTGCAGAAACTTCAAGCGGGCTCTAAAGGCGTGACTGGCTGCGGAGGAGGCGCTAGCACAGCTACAGATCACTGACGAAGAGGAGATGGCTGATCCACAGGACCATGATGTGGTCAATCCCGAGGAGCAGACCATGGGGCATTACTGGACCGCCACGGCTGCAGACATGAGGTCACCCATTCAACACCCTCATGTCCCAGCCAATAATTTTGAGGTGAGCACCTCAGTAATCACCATGCTGCGCGGTTCAGTGATGTTCCGTGGCAAAGAGGGGGAGTGCCCCCGATCACATCTCAGGCGATTCCACGAGCTCATTGATGGAATCAAGATCAATGGGGTCCCAGTAGATGCCATCCAGCTGAGCTACTTCCCATTCACCCTGGAGGGGCAGGCCAAGGAGTGGCTAAACACTCGACCTCCAGGCTCCATCACCACGTTCGCCAACCTCGCGGACAAGTTCCTTACCCGCTACCATCCTCCGTCGAAGACGGCGAACTTGCAGAAGCAGATCACCCACTTCACCTAGGATGAAGATGAGACCATCCGGGACGCCTGGGAGAGATACAACAGCCTCTTCCTGAGGTGTCCCAATCATGGTTTCAACGATGCTTTCAAGGTGGGCACCTTCTATCACGCCCTCTTCCCAGAAGACAAGCAGCTGATTGACTCAGTTTGTGGTGGGAACATGCTGACCAAAACACCGCCACAGCTGAATCAACTCTTTGAGGAGATGGCAGAGAACGGGTATGATTGGGGCACTGCTAGGAGGTCGAGGAGAGCACCAAGCCGAGGTGTACATTCTGTGGGAAACCATTCCTCTGATTTGGTGCAGGTGGTATCGAAGCTGGTTTCAGCTATCGATCGTTCCGGGATGATTGCAGGTACCGGATAGCAGCAGGCGATGCTCTGCCAGTGGTGCGAGAGCACCCATCATACAGTGGAAGACTGCCAGGCGATGAAGGAATCGACCACACACCAGGAGCAGGTGAACTTCATCAACAATGTCAGGCGCAATGACCCCTACAGTAACACCTACAATGAGGGGTGGCGCCAGCATCCCAACTTCTCCTAGGGTGGGGCAAATCCCAGACCACCAGTCCACCAGGGACCACCGGGCTTCCAGAGGCCACCATATCAGCCCAGACAAGGGCAATTCCAGCAGCAGCAGCAGTCTCTCTACCAGCCCATGCAGGGGCATGCTGCTCAATCACAGCCGCGACCTTTCCAGCAGCCAGGTGCAGCCCCTGCCACCCCAGTGCAGAATGATCAGATGGCTCAACTGCGGGAATTGGTGGGTTCTCTCGCTAGTTCTAGTACTAAAAAATTTAACACTATCGAGCAGTTCATGGAAAAGGCATCGGGTAAATTCCTGGCGCTTGAAGCTGGCCAGAGGAACACACAGGCTATCTTGCAGGATATCCAAACCCAGCTGGGGAGCGTGGCGCAAGCAGTGGCACAAAGGGCTCCTGGTACTCTGCCCGGTCAGACCATCCCTCATCCACAGAACCCGAATGAGCACTGCAATGCCATCATAACCAGGAGTGGCAAGATGACTGTTGATCCACCTGCTCGGGCACAAGAGAGAGAGGCCCCTGCCCCGGCATCTCCAGCAGCTGAAAAAGAAGCAGAGAAGGAGGTTGAGGTGCCTGCACCTAAACCGCAACCAGTAGTGAAAGAGTATATCCCTCAACTCCCCTTCCCTACTCGGTTGCACAAAGACAGGCTGGAGGCAAAGTTCGAGAGCTTCATGGCCATGCTTAGGAAGCTGAATGTCCAAGTACCTTTCCTGGAGGCACTATCTCAAATGCCTAAGTATGCGAAGTTCCTGAAGGACCTTCTCTCAAAGAAGCCGAAGCTGAGCGAGCTGGCCACTATGGAGCTCAGCTAGGAGTGCGCGGCCATTCTGCAGAACAAGCTTCCGCAGAAGCAGAAGGACCCAGGTAGTTTTACTATCCCGTGCTCTATAGATAAATTGCATGTAGAGAGGTCCTTGGCGGATTTAGGTGCTAGTATCAATGTTATTCCATATAAATTATTCAAGAAACTAGGCCTAGGTGAACCCCATGCTACTAGGATGAGCCTTCAATTAGCTGACCGATCTGTCGTGTATCCTAGGGGCATAGTGGAAGACCTTCTGGTTAAGGTTGGGAAATTCAATAATCTTGTTGATTTTGTGATTTTGGACATAAATGAGGATGTGGATGTGCCATTGATACTGGGAAGGCCTTTCCTGGCCACCGCCAAGGCCCTCATAGATGTGCATGATGGGACCTTAGTTTTGAGGGATGGTGAGGAGCGAATAACGTTTTCAATTTATAATACTCTTCCTGCTTCGTCACCTCTGCATGCTGTATCTCACCGGGAGCACGAGTCTGTCGTGTATCCTTCTGCGTTTCCTATTTTGCAGGATCCGCCTCCCATACCTTCGCCGCCACTCCCGTCCACTCCGTCATCGAAGTAACAGATCAAGGAGGAGTGGCGGCCGAAACTGCAGGCAGCTAAGCCTGCTCGAAAGAAAGCCGGAGACCACTATGAGCTGGTCCCGCCCCCACCTTGGCCATCCGAGTATTCACTCGCTTGCATCATGCCGGATGGCCAAGTTGAGTTGGCAAATGCAGGTGGCCACATTCGGCGTGTGCATGGCCACCATTTGAAGCTGTACCTCAAGAGTGAGGTGGATCCGCTCTTGAAGGCACCTGCTCCTTCACCTCACTGAGCATCCACCGACTGGAGTCCAGCTAAAAGACGGTAAAGAAGCGCTTGTGGGGAGGCAACCCCACCTAGGTTTGCATTTTCTTACCTTTTTCCTTTTGATTCTTTTTGTGTTTTTTGAGTCTTGAGGGGTTGTTCACGAGTTGTATGTCGTTCTGGAGTGAAAACAGGTCAAATTCGAAGTTCTGGCAGCCCACACAGCCAGCCCTGTCGGTCACACGGTCGTGTAGAAAATGGGTTTGGCCGTGTAAGCTCTTGACAAATTCCACACGGCCAGTTGTGATGGTGGCACGGCCGTGTGCAAAATCTCCCCTGGCCGTGTGAGCTCTCGTAAAAAGCCACACGGCCAAATGTGCAATCGACACGGCCGTGTGGAAAATTGCTTTGGCCGTGTGAGCTCTCGCAGAATTACACACGGCCAGCTGTGATAGTGACACGGCCGTGTGGAAATTCCCCCAGGCCGTGTTTGCTCTCGTAAATTATGACACGGCCAAATGTGCACTCGGCACGGCCGGGTGAAAATTCCTCGGCCCGCCCGTGTCGGCCGACACGGGCAAAAGCGCACCTGACACGGCCGTGTGAGCCAGGCCGTGTGGCCGAGCCACGGGTTATAAATTCGGCCGACACGGTGACATCGATCTGGACAACCTCAGCGACGAGTAGGCTGTACTTGTCGCCCCCCTCAGTGTGTGTTTTTTATTTTTGTTTGAGACTTTTTCTGTTTGCTCCATGTGTTTGAGGAGCTTGAACTTAGTTTGTCGTGTGTTTTGTTTCTTTTCTTTTGTGGATTGTTTCTTTTGTGGCCATCTGGGCCAACTCTTATCCCTAACGAGCATGTGCTAGTGTGTTCTTGATGTTCCCTTAGTGCAGAACTGTCAGTTCGTTCCATATGTCCCACGCTGACTGGTTCACTTCCAGTCCCCCGCAGCATTTCAATCCGGTAACATCGTTCCCCTTCTCTATCCCTCTGCTCCATTGAGGGCAATGTTGTGCTTAAGTGTGTGTGTGGGGGGGGGGGGTGCTTTGTATCGGTTTGAATCTTTACATGTGCTTGGAGCCTAGTCCACTGTCCAAATCTCGAGATTTGAGGGCTCCAAGTACTGCTGTTTGATCATATTGGCACTGTGTTTTGATTGATGAATTGAATGGTTTTCGGATTGATGCATGACAGCTTGATCGTGACTAGGACAACCTATGATGAGGACTGAGACGTGCAGTAGAATTGTGTAGGGGTTCAGTTCTTTCAACTGTTTGCTTACCAACTGTGACTTGGATTGATTACTTGGTCTTGACAGTCTCTTATGCATCTAGGTCAGGGAATCAGAATGAGAGATAGAGCATATAGGTAGCCATGTGAGATTTGAGCCTGCTCGTTTCTTTCTTGTGCGATAGTTCCCTCTTCCATGATGTGTAGCATTCACGTTGTCACTAGCTAAGATGATGGGGGCATAGGATTAGCCCACGACCAAATTTGACTGTCCTGATGTGTCATATCCCCTAGTCAGCCCCTTTGAGCCGTGTGTTATCCTTTCTTTTGGTCTATAATGAAAAATCACCCTTTTTGCATCTTTTAGAAGGTTCCACAGAGTGGTTTTTACATATTCTCTGCTGTTTCTGCTAAATTTGATGTGAGTGTTGGAGGTAGTGCTTAAAAGTTGGGCAGGTGTTTGAAATATGTACAGAAGTGGTGGCTCTCTTAAGAAATGAAAAGAAAATGAAAGAAAAACAAAGAAAAATTGGAAGCAAAAGAGAGCCACTACCAAAAATCTGAATAATGCCCATTAAGTAGTGTTTCTTAGCAGTCTGGCTTGGAAATGCTAACATTTATACCTCCTTCGCTTTTGTGCTATTGAGATATTGAGTAATGCAGAATAGCAGAAAGGAAATACCGGTTTGTTTGACTGTGATTGTGTGGGTTTGGAAATGTGGAACCTTGTGCTTTGAATACTTCCACCACCTAAAAGGCCTTTTCCCCGTGTCCAAGACCCTAGCCAGTCATTTGAACCTGTGTCTAAGACCCCCTGATTAGTTAGTGGTGACACCCCATATGTGAACTCTAGCATTTAGAGGCTGCCATCATGGTGAAGAGATGTTAGGGATTGAGAGAAATAGCATGCGCATTTTTCGCATCAAATTGTCCCAACCCCACTGGTCGAGAGTGAGTGATTCATTTTCATATTCTATATACTCTTGTACCCCGGTGAGGACCTAGATTGCTCGGTCTCTATTCTGATGTCTTGAGTTGGATGTATGAGTTGACTGTTTTGAGTAAGTGGTTGAGTCAAGTCTAAGTTGGTTGGTGAACAGAAGGGAGACTCTTCCTTTACTCGATTTTGCTGCACTCGAATGTCCTTTGTGGTGGTTGTCCAGGTTGCTATTGAGGTTGTTCATGTATTGATGTTTGAAAACCAGTACAATTCACGTGTTCTGTGCCTTTATGACTTGTCCCCAATGTTGGTTGATTGAAATATGTGAGCTTACCTTGTATCTGACTTGGTTTGCTTGTGGACAAGCAAACGGTTAAGTGTGGGGGATTTTGATAGACCGTTAATTACACATGTTTTTACCCCTGTTCTTACACCGTTTGAGGTGTTGATTCTCGTGTTTTAGGCCGATTTCACACTAGGTTGTGCTTGTTTGTGATATTTCGGGTCCTAGTACGTGAATGGAGGCTTGGGAGCGAGTTTGGGGTCGATTGGACGAAGATCGGACGCGTGGCGAGGTGCTAAGGAAGCCGCACGGGCATTCCTGGACATCACACGGCCGTGCAACTCACATTTGTGGCCGTGTGATTTTCGCCGAGAGCAAACACGGGCAGGATGGAAATCCCACACGGCCGTGCGACCCTGGCCGTGTGGGAAGCCTGAATTTCGACTTAATGATACGCCGCGTTTTGACTCACACGGGCAACTGGGTGAGCCACACGGCCGTGTGGCCTGCCCGTGTGAGTCGGGAATTCCTGGTTTTAACCCAATTTCGGGCTGCAAAAGAGGGAATCGGACTTTTTGAGCAAAAACAGAGCCCTAGAGAGAGAAAGTACGAAGAACACATCCTAGAAGCTATCTTGGAGCTGGGTTTCATCAAATCGAGCTTGGAGATCGTCATCGGAGTGGAAATCATCATCCCAGAGCAGATTCTTCCCATTGTAATGAGTATGACTGCTTTGTACCTTGTTTTCCTCTCTCTCTCTATGGAGTAGAACCTCTCTCTCACTTGGGGATGAAGAACCCTAGTTCTATGTGTTAGGGATTGATTGTAATGACTTGGGATGGTATTATAGTTTGATTTTAATCGAATGATGCATGTTTATTGAGTCAATTGATGTCTGATCAACTTTTCCTGACACCTGCTGCAATCTGAGATAGATAGAATCTGATTAGTTTGCTAGAGTCTCATCATTCGGTAGTAGGAGATTGGCTATACGAGAGTTAGCCAGTTTACTGCTTTGTACTGGAATCCAATTCTTCATACCCAAGTGAGAGAAAGTTCTACTCCATAGAGAGGGAGGAAAACAGAAATCAGAGTAGTCATACTCATAAAGATGAGGAAAATCTACTATGGGATGTCAATCTTCACTCCCGGGGATGCAATCTCGGCTTCAATGTTGAGAAATCCACTCCAAATAGCTCCTAGGGTTTGTTCTTCTCACTTTCTCTCTCTAAAACTCTGTTTTTGCTCCAAAAAGTCGACTCTCTCTCCTTTGGCTCGAATCTGCCTCAAAAACCCGATTCTGGGCAAAACACGGTCGAGGGCACAGCCATGTTTTTGCTTTTGCCCGTCCGTGCCCTTGCCACGTGTTAAAAACACGCCCGTGTTTTGATTTTCCATCAGTTCAGCTCTCGCACATAAAAACACTAGCGTGCCTGTTTGTGTACACGGCCGTGTTCTTCAGGCCTCCTGCCCGTGTTTTGCCCCCAGCTCGACCGAATGACCTCCAAACGCCCTGAATCTCGCGCTTAGCCTTTCCTTCGACGTCTGGGACCTGAAATATGACAAAGTAGCACATCCCAGCATAAAACGTCCAAAAATACACGACTACTAGCCGCAAACGGATAAGAACTAAGGGTTCAAACGTGTGCAAATACATCGTTATCAGTGGCCGGGGCTCAGGGTCTGGGACCAGCTCATAGTGGTTGCTAGTTGTCTTTTGAACAGGCTTAGCTACCTGCCGCTTGTGTCGCCACTCCTCGAGCTTTTCTTTTGGTAACAGAGCGGACAGGAGTGACGACGAAAGAATGTGGAGAGAATCCTGCAAAATCGGCGACACAAAAGGATACACGACAAACTAGTGCACCTGATGAGATAAAGCATGCACAGGTGAGATAGAAGTCATATTTTTATCAATGGAAAATGTTATCTGCTCCTCACCATCTCTCAAAACTAAGGTCCCATCATGAACATCAATAAAAGCCTTGGCAGTGGCCAGCAAAGGCTTTCCTAGTATAAGGGCACTTATGCTTCTTCATTGATGTCCAAGACAAAAAAATCCACAGGATAAAAGAATTTGCCAACCTTAACTAGGAGGTCTTCCACTATGCCTCTAGAGTGAACTATGGATCGATAAGCTAATTGGATGCTCATCCTAGTTGCACTTGGTTCACCTAGGCCTAGTTTCTTGAACAATTTATATGGTATAACATTGATACTAGCACCCAGATCCACCAAGAACCTCTGCACATGCAATTTACCAATAGAGCACGGGATAGTAAAACTACCTGGGTCCTTTTGCTTCTGCGGAAGCTTGTTCTGAAGAATGGCCGAACACTCCTCGTTGAGCTCCACAATGGCCAGCTCCCTCAGCTTCTGCTTCTTCGAAAGAAGATCTTTCAGGAACTTTGCATACTTAGGCATCTGAGATAGTGCCTTTAGGAAGGGCACTTGAACATTCAACTTCCTTAGCATGGACATGAAATTCCCGAGCTCGACCTCCAATCGATTTTTATGCATCCTGGTGGGGAAAGGGAGCCTAGGTTTATATTCAGCCACTACTGGCTAGGGCTTTGGGGCTCGAACCTCTGGCTCCTTTCCTACCACCATGTCCTCTTTCGGCTCTGGGGTGATCTGTGTCGCCTTCTTTGCACTCTTCGATGGTGCATCCTCAGTTACAGTCCCATTTCTCAGCATGATTGCGTGCAACCCCTCCTTATGATTTTTGGGGTTCGACAAGGCTTGACGAGGAAGTGTACCAGCCAATCTAGAAGCAAGGGCATCTGCCAGGTGTTCGATTTTGGCATCCATATCCTGCAGAAGTGTCTGTTGGTTCCTCTGGCTAACTTCAATCTTCATGAATTTTCCTGCAGCCACTTCCATGAATTGCTCCACTTTACCGAACTTCTGGGTACTAGTGATAGCCAAGGTGGTCACAATATCCCTTAGTTTTGACATGGCATCGCCAAGTGTATGGACTGATGGAGATGCTCTAGGCTGCAGGTACTACTGTTGTGGGGGTTGTTGAAAAGCCTACCCCTGTCTGGGCTGATAAAATGGTTGTTGCTGCTGCATCTGGCCCGGACAGGGCTGGTTGTTCCTTTGGTTATGAAGACCACCTATAGGAGCTTGGAAGCCAGGTGGCTTGGGATTGTTGTTTCCATTCCGGGAGAAATTAGGATGCTGGTGCTACCCCTCGTTGTATGTATTATTGTAGGGGTCCTTGCGTCGAACATTATTAATGAAATTCAGCTGTTCTTACGGTGTGCTGGACTCCCGCTGAGCTTGGCAGTCCTCCACCATATGATTGGTGCTCTCACACCACTGGCAATACATCGCATGTTGCTTCCCTGTACCTGGAACCATCATGTTCCGATCAATCACTGAAACCGGTTTAGAGACAACCTGCACCAACTCAGAGGACTGGGTGTCCATGGCATGCACACCCCGGCCTGGTGCTCTTCTCGACCTCCACGCGGACCCCCAATCGTAGCCCTGCTCTGCTATTTCATCAAAGAGCTGGTTCAACTGGGGTGGCGTCTTGGTCAACATGTTCGCGGCACATACCGAGTAAATCAACTGCTTGTCTTCAGGAAAGATAGTGATAAGGCGTTAATTGCACATGTTTTTACCCCTATTATGGAGCCGTTTGAGATGGTAATTCTCGTGTTTTAGGCTGATTTCAAGCTAGGTTGTGTTCGTTTGTGATATTTCAGGTCCTATCAAGTGAATGAAGGTTTAGGAGCGAGTGCGGGGTCGATTGGACGAAGATCGGGCGCGAGGCAAGTCAAAAAGGAAGCCACACGGGCACACACAGAAGCCACACGGCCGTGCAAGTGACCAATTTGGCCGTGTGGGATTGTCCGAGCCTTCACACGGCCAGCCCTGATATTCACACGGCCGTGTGAAGTTTCACTTTGGCCGTGTGGGATTCTGCGAGGCTTCACACGGCCAGGCTGGGTGAGCTACACGGCCGTGTGACCCTGGCCGTGTGGGAAGCCTGAAACTCAATTACTCGGAACGCGGCGTTTTGACCTCACACGAGCAACTGGGTATGCCACACGGCCGTGTGAGCCTGCCCGTGTGAGTTGGGAATTTCTGGTTTTTACCCAATTTCAGGCTGCAAGTGGGAGAAAGGGGATTTTCAGAGCAAAAACAGAGCCCTAGAGAGAGAAAGTACGAAGAACACATCCGAGAAGCTATCTTGGAGCTGGGTTTCATCAAATCAAGCTTGGAGATCGTCATAGGAGTGGAAATCATCATCCCAGAGCATATTTTCCTCATCTTTATGAGTATGACTACTCTGTATTCTGTTTTCCTCTCTCTCTCTATGGAGTAGAACCCTTCTCTCACTTGGCTATGAAGAACCCTAGTTCTATGTGTTAGGGATTTGATTGTAATGACTTGGGATGATATTACTGCTTGGTTTTAATCGAATGATGCATGTTTATTGAGTCAATTGAAGTCTGATCAGCTTTTCCTGATTTCTGATGCAACCTGAGATAGATAGAATCTGATTAGGTTGTTAGAGCCTCATCATTCGGTAGTAGGAGATTGGCTATACGAGAGTTAGCCAGTTTACTGCTTTGTACTGGAATCCAATTCCAGTAGTGGAGTTCTGTTCTTAATGCTTCAGCTTTCTATCCCGGTGAAGACTAGTCGTCTGCCGGGTAGTTAGACTGAGAGGGCTTGGTCAGCTTAAGAGATTCCAAGCTACTGTCGGATCTTCCGCAGTCTAATCAACAGTAAATCAACCCAGGGAAATTACAATTGAAACCTAACTAAGGAGCTAGGGGGACTCATTCCCGAGTGACTCTTCTTTGCTTGAGAAAACCGTACCAATTCCTACTTTCTTTCTGCTTTTGCTTTAAACAACAAACACTTAACTTAGTTGGCTAGATAATAGATACTCACGGAGTAAGCAGTAGATCTAGACCCCGGGTTGATAATAGAACTTGCCATTTTACTGCATTCCCGGACTGCGATTATACTTGGTCGCAGTTTGGTGTTGTGTTTTGTCGTGTCAAGTTTTTGGCGCCGTTGCCGGGGAACCTCTATGTTATTAGGGAAACGTGCAAATCTGTTACTCTAGCTTTTTCTTTACTGCATTTTCTCTCTTCCACCTGTGTGCCTTCACGGGTTGCTTCTGCTGATTGTGTGCAGGTAGTGCATGACCCGTAGCCAGTCGAGAGATCTACTACCACTAGACCAGGAGCTTGAACGAACCTGCAGAAACTTCAAGCGGGCTCTAAAGGCGCGACTGGCTGCGGAGGAGGCGCTAGCACAGCTACAGATCAATGACGAAGAGGAGATGGCTGATCCACAGGACCATGATGTGGTCAATCCCGGGGAGCAGACCATGGGATCCTACTGGACCGCCAGGGCTGCAGACATGAGGTCACCCATTCAACACCCTCATGTCCCAGCCAATAATTTTGAGGTGAGCACCTCAGTAATCACCATGCTGCGCGGTTCAGTGGTGTTCCGTGGCAAAGAGGGGGAGTGCCCCCGATCACATCTCAGGCGATTCCACGAGCTCATTGATGGAATCAAGATCAATGGGGTCCCAGCAGATGCCATCCTGTTGAGGTACTTCCCATTCACCCTGGAAGGGTAGGCCAAGGAATGGCTAGACACTCGACCTCCGGGCTCCATCACCACGTTCGCCAACCTGGCGGACAAGTTTCTCACCCGCTACCATCCTCCATCCAAGATGGCGGACCTGCAGAAGCAAATTACCCATTTTGCTCAGGATGAGGATGAGACCATCAGGGATGCTTGGGAGAGATACACCAGTCTCTTCCTCAATCGTCCCAACCATGGTTTTACTGATGCCTTCAAGGTGGGAACCTTCTATCATGCTCTCTTCCCGGAGGACAAGCAGCTGATTGACTCGGTCTGTGGCGGGAATATGCTCACCAAAACGCCGCCACAGTTGAATCAACTTTTTGAAGAGATGGCAGAGCAGGGATATGATTGGGGCACTTCCAGGAGATCGAGAAGAGCACCAGGGCGGGGTGTGCATGCTGTCGCCACCCAGTCATCTGATTTGGTGCAGGTGGTATCGAAGCTGGTTTCAGACATAGATCGCTCTGGATTGATTACAGGTACAGGACAGCCGCAGGCG